TTTTTTTTTTTTTTTTTTTTTTTTTCCCCCCCCCCCCCCTTTGTGTGTGAGCAGAAGGAGCCACGGCGGCGCAGTTACAACAGCACTCTGACGATTCCTCATGTCGTGAAGCCTGTGGAGGAAATCACTCGGGCTGAACTGGACAACATCTGCGTCAACGTCAGAGAGAAGATTTACAACCGGGCCACCGTAAGTCTCCTTCAGCATGAAGCTTTTACTATCACAGCACCGGTTCAATACTCAAGCCTTCATTTCTCAGCTTGTTTGAAGCGCTGCAGACTCTTCATGAGCGTGTGGGCTGTGCTTCTGTCCATCAGGGTTCCACCTGCCATCAGTGTCGACAAAAAACAACTGACACCAAGACCAACTGCCGCAACCCAGAATGCGTGGGTGTTCGCGGGCAGTTCTGCGGGCCTTGTCTTAAGAACCGTTATGGAGAAGATGTCCGTGATGCTCTCCTGAACCCGGTTAGTGACATTTTCCAGTCTTCATGCACATTGTGAAAGCATTAGCACCGGCATATGGGTTATTTTTATCAGAGCAGCTAGCATTTTTCTAAACGATTACATCGTTTTGCTGAGACGTTGTGGTTTTCTTCTTCTAGGAGTGGCTTTGCCCCCCGTGCAGGGGCATCTGTAACTGCAGTTTCTGCCGTGCCAGAGAGGGCCGCTGTGCTACAGGTGTGCTCGTGTACCTGGCCAAGTACCACGGCTATGACAATGTCCACGCTTATCTGAAAAGGTATGTAGCTGTGTTCCAAAAATGTATGGGCTGCCTATCTAGACAGCATTTTAAAGCATCACAGTTGCTGTGTCTGTAGACCACTCACTAAGTGACTGTTGTCAGAACTGTTGTGTCAGTCACTTGGTGGCTTTTGGGTGAATCTATGAAAGCGTGACCTCTGACCTCTCTCCACAGTCTAAAGAAGGAATTGGAGGAAAGTGAATAAGATGGTTGCCATGTTCTGCGGAGTCCAACCATATCATCCTCAAGTGTCTTAATCGTTGTCGTGTGATTCACAGAGCTTCCTTAAACCTGCTGCAGGTTCAATTTGAGTAGACTGTTGTGTTGTCTACATGAAATCCTTAAGTTTGCATTGTTTTAAATGTATCTTTTTTTAAAGGGAATGTTTTTATCTCTATACTGTGTTGGAAAATATAATTGTTGACTGCAATACTTGTTGTCTTTGCTGTTTTTTTACCATGATTTTTCCAATCTGTAAGTTCTCCAGACTCTGTTATAGCTGCGCAATGTACTGCTGTAGTACTTGAATAAAATTTGCGCTTTTTAAGTTCTGTTATCTTTGTGGGAACATGTTCATGTTGTGATTTGATGTTAATGTTTTCCCTGACATCTTCAATAGATGTAATTATTAAAGACATGTACAATCTAAACTGAGCTAATTAATGAATGTCATTTTACAGTACTTTATTTTATTTATTTTTTTTGTAGTCAGGCCGAGCATTAATATTTTATTGGGCAGAAACTGTAAAATCCTAATCTTCATCTAGTAACTCGCAAACAAATTTGTTCTTTTTCTGAGGAAAATGGCAACATTTTGGTAAAACGATGCTGAATTATTCTTGGATTTTACTGGTAGTTTAAAAAAATATATATTAAAATGAAACCAGTTTGCTACCTTTAACAAAAAAAAATTGGTTTCAGACTCAGGACCGTTGTACCACCTTGATATTTTTCACTTTATGAAAACATGTTAATATTTATAGAGGTTTTTATAGACTCACAAAAATGACCTTCAGGAGTTTGAGTTCCCATATTTCCCAAATGAATGGAGTTGCTCCTCTTGCATCTACCACCAGAGCCGCCCTGACAAACATTTGATATTACAGCAGTGAGTCTGCCTCGACATCTATTTCAACAGAAATTCAATCATGAAGGAATATTGCGGTGATTTGAACATGCCCTCAGCTCTTGCCCCTCTGTGCCCCTGTGGGTTAAGAGGGCATAAGTAGGGGGATGGGGGGCTATTACCCCCCCAACCAGTGCCCTGCAGAGGAGAACGGAGTGCTGTGATATACTGCAGTCTGCTCGTATCCCTCATTAGAGAGCTGCTACTAATGGTGTGGAAATAATTAGCAGACTAATGGGAAATCTTATACCTGTGAATCATTTTTCCCTGTTAAAGCTCTTTCACAACCCTCAGCTCACTCGTTCCTTGCTTTTTTCCATCCTCTCATTGAGATCGCCACGGACTTGCTGATTTTCTGATATAAAACCCTGCTTTAATAATACAGCTTTCACATTCATAGCATGGTGTTGTGTGCAAGTACCATGGTACCACCAATTAAGTTTGTGAGTGCTGTATGAAGCTGTGGACAGTGATAGATGCTTTCTCACCCAAAATGTCCACAGTACACGTGACTTTCAGTCTTGCTGAACATCATGAGCTCTTGATCAGTGGTTTCCTGGATGGACTCAGGCAGGGGTGCCTGCAGGATTTCATCTGATGGAAAAAAATTAACTATAAAGTTCAACAGAAGCGCTTTTTACAAATTCAATTCTGAGAGAACTTCATTTTCTTGCACTTCTGTAAGACCTCAGACCACTGAGCGGTATCAGCGCACATAAGCAGAATGACTGTCTCTACACATGCTTTAAACGTTTTAAAACACAAGAATGGCGAAAAGAAACGAAATGGACGAAAGGCATCCATATAGTACGTTCACATTGGAAAACAAACACTTTCGCTGTGAATGGCCGCTTATTCACGTGACACAAAAGTAGGCCTAACTGAATTTTCTCGACGTTACCTCAAAAATTACCTTGTTTCGGTATCCACTTCATCCAGCTCTGTTTGTTATCTTAATACTGTCTGTTTGATACAGAGCGTTTTCCAAATCTTCAATACCTATCTTGCTGGATCTGTCCGCTGCTTTTGACACCAGATCCTCCTGTCAACCCTATTGGCAAAGGGCATCTCCGGAACCGCACTCCAGTGGTTTGAGTCTTACCTCCCAGATAGGTCCTTCAAAGTATCTTGGAGAGGTGCGGTGTCTAAGTCGCAGCATCTAACTACTGGGGTGCCTCAGGGCTCTGTTCTTGGACCACTTCTCTTCTCTCTACATGGCATTACTAGGTTCTGTCATTCAGAAACACGTCTTTTCATATCACTGCTATGCTGATGACACTCAACTCTGCCTCTCATTCCATCCTGATGATCCGGCGATAGCTGCTCGCATCTCATCTTGTCTAACAGACATTTCTGGCTGGATGACGGACCATCACCTTCAACTCAACCTGGCCAAGACAGAACTGCTTGTGGTTCCATCAAACCCATCGTTTCATCACAATTTCACCATGCAGTTAAGCACATCAACCATAACTCCTTCAAAAACAGTCAGAAACCTTGGAGTTATGATTGATGATCAGCTGACTTTCTCAGACCACATTGCTAAAACTGTCCGGTCCTGCAGATTTGCTTTATTCAGCATTTATCAAGACCAGGTCCTTTCTTTCGGAACATGCTTCACAACTCCTTGTTCAAGCTCTTGTTCGCCATTTTTTCTTCTTCTTTTCTGATCCCAGTGGAAGGCTTTTACCAAGGTATCAAAGTCGCAGTACAGTAGCTGTATAACTATGGTATTTTGATGTCAATGCTGGTCTCTTTTGTCAGTGCAGGCTATGTTTCATGCCCATTTCCCCCAGAAGGCTCCGTTTTTAATCCTGAGAGTGAATCTTTTTGGAGCTGCAGGAATCAAACGCTTCAAAAGTATTTATTTGCATAATAAAGATGCACTCGAAAATACTGGTATTAAATACCAATGATCATCCACTTTAGGGTGATGAATATTTAGGGAAATAATTGTTTACGACGCTCGAGCGTCGAGCTGATCTGGTAATCAGGCTATGAAATACAATATTTATTCATTAGAGCGAACTTAATGAGGCCTCGCGGCGCTAATTATGAAAAGCAGCGTAGCGCTAAATGAGCGCGGGAGAGACAGGAGCGCGCGCTTTTCTTACCTGTTTCCCGCGCTGCAGGGTCAGCGGGCGTCACGGAGCTCTGCGTGATTGTGTGTGATGGCCACACTAACGCTGCAGCATTGCAGCACGGACTGGCAGAGGCAGGAGTGCTCGTGACTGCTGTTGTAGCCGTGATTAATAATTATATGTGGAATATTGAGTATTTATTATGAGCCCCTTTTCATTGCGCGTTGTTCAGAAGTGCGCTTCTGTTTGCCTGTTGAGAAGAGAGACCAGAAGAGTGAACTGCTCACACAATCTCTCTATAATAAGATATATATTTCACTTTAATATATTAGGATGCATCTTATGCTCCTTTAGGTTTCACATTAGTGAACACAGAATCCCTGCATACTGCCTTCTATTCAAAGAACACTGCCTTTTAAAAAGTACAACTCTTCATGTTATTAATAATAATAATAATAACCACCATCATCATAAAAATAAGAAATATTTAAAATAATAATTATGTGATTGTTTTCACTGATAAATGTAAACATTTCTTTGAAATAGCAAGCATAATATTATTACTATTTATGCAGTATATAGTATGTTTACTGTGCACAGTTTGCACATTTTCTGTATGGATGCATAAAAGTACTTTTAAAAATGAAAAAACTCTCCCATAATGCAATGAGCTCAACTTTCCATTTGCAGTGTGATTATGAACAAAAGTAATTACAGTCACAATTTTAACCTCTATTTTATTAATGCATATTGTTTCACTTGATGATGATAATAATACTTATTATTATTATTATTGTTGTTGTTGTCTTTCTGGATAATAATAATAATAACTATTATTAATAGTATTAGTTATTATTAATAACTATTATTATTGTTATTACTGTCTGCCTCTCATTCCATCCTGATGATCCGGCGATAGCTGCTCGCATCTCATCTTGTCTAACAGACATTTCTGGCTGGATGACGGACCATCACCTTCAACTCAACCTGGCCAAGACAGAACTGCTTGTGGTTCCATCAAACCCATCGTTTCATCACAATTTCACCATGCAGTTAAGCACATCAACCATAACTCCTTCAAAAACAGTCAGAAACCTTGGAGTTATGATTGATGATCAGCTGACTTTCTCAGACCACATTGCTAAAACTGTCCGGTCCTGCAGATTTGCTTTATTCAGCATTTATCAAGACCAGGTCCTTTCTTTCGGAACATGCTTCACAACTCCTTGTTCAAGCTCTTGTTCGCCATTTTTTCTTCTTCTTTTCTGATCCCAGTGGAAGGCTTTTACCAAGGTATCAAAGTCGCAGTACAGTAGCTGTATAACTATGGTATTTTGATGTCAATGCTGGTCTCTTTTGTCAGTGCAGGCTATGTTTCATGCCCATTTCCCCCAGAAGGCTCCGTTTTTAATCCTGAGAGTGAATCTTTTTGGAGCTGCAGGAATCAAACGCTTCAAAAGTATTTATTTGCATAATAAAGATGCACTCGAAAATACTGGTATTAAATACCAATGATCATCCACTTTAGGGTGATGAATATTTAGGGAAATAATTGTTTACGACGCTCGAGCGTCGAGCTGATCTGGTAATCAGGCTATGAAATACAATATTTATTCATTAGAGCGAACTTAATGAGGCCTCGCGGCGCTAATTATGAAAAGCAGCGTAGCGCTAAATGAGCGCGGGAGAGACAGGAGCGCGCGCTTTTCTTACCTGTTTCCCGCGCTGCAGGGTCAGCGGGCGTCACGGAGCTCTGCGTGATTGTGTGTGATGGCCACACTAACGCTGCAGCATTGCAGCACGGACTGGCAGAGGCAGGAGTGCTCGTGACTGCTGTTGTAGCCGTGATTAATAATTATATGTGGAATATTGAGTATTTATTATGAGCCCCTTTTCATTGCGCGTTGTTCAGAAGTGCGCTTCTGTTTGCCTGTTGAGAAGAGAGACCAGAAGAGTGAACTGCTCACACAATCTCTCTATAATAAGATATATATTTCACTTTAATATATTAGGATGCATCTTATGCTCCTTTAGGTTTCACATTAGTGAACACAGAATCCCTGCATACTGCCTTCTATTCAAAGAACACTGCCTTTTAAAAAGTACAACTCTTCATGTTATTAATAATAATAATAATAATAACCACCATCATCATAAAAATAAGAAATATTTAAAATAATAATTATGTGATTGTTTTCAGTGATAAATGTAAACATTTCTTTGAAATAGCAAGCATAATATTATTACTATTTATGCAGTATATAGTATGTTTACTGTGCACAGTTTGCACATTTTCTGTATGGATGCATAAAAGTACTTTTAAAAATGAAAAAACTCTCCCATAATGCAATGAGCTCAACTTTCCATTTGCAGTGTGATTATGAACAAAAGTAATTACAGTCACAATTTTA